GAGGACTGAGGTTTTTAAGCCAGCACAGGCAGAAAATTTTACAAGATCCCTTGTCAATGCATAGCCAAGGCCAGTGGCTAGTACCTGTCATATCAAGCTATGACTAGAGGATCCAGCCAGCCTGTCAAGAAAGCCCATGAGACTTCATCTCCAGTAAGAGAAGCTGGACCAGATGACATGCCCCTGTGATCCCGGCAATTCCAGAAACCTATAGCAGCTATTTGCAAGCTATTCTACACAAAAGCTTTTCCCTAACATGCAAGCCATTCTGCATATAAGCTTTTACCTAACATGAGTGAAAAGTTAGGCAAGGACAATGTCAAAAGATCTCACTATACCTTGAAAACAAAAAAGGAAAAATATGAGTTAAATTATCAGTGTCTTCTGCCTCTTATAGAGGCAAGATCTTAGCCAAACTAGCCCCTATATAAAGCATTCCACTTTCACTGAAAAGTTACTCTGGACCACTACCTAAAACATTGCACACAATCTAGGTAGCTAAAACACAAAGGAAAGCCAGGCTCAGTAGTTCACACCAGTAATCCTAGCTACTCAGCAGTTCAAAGGCAGCCCAGACAGGAAAGTCAGTGAGATTCTTTTTTTGGTCAGTCGTGGGGCTTGAACTCTGGGCCTGGGTGCTGTCCCCTCAGCTCTTCAGCTCAAGGCTAGTGCTATACCCCTTGAGCCACAGCACCACTTCTGGCCTTTTCTATTTATGTGGTGCTGAGGAACTGAACCCAGGGTCTCATGCATGCAAGGCAATCACTCTACCACTGAGCCACCTTCCCAGCCCAGTGAGATTCCTATCTCCAGTTAATCACCAGAAAACCAGAAGTGAAGATGTGGCTCCAAGTGCAGAGCGATAGCCTTGAATAAAAGAGCTCAGAGACAGTGCCCAGGCCCTGAGTTCAAGCCCCAAAACCAAAAAACTAAAGTAAAAGAAAATAATAAAAGAAAATAAAAAAACACAAAGGAAACTAGAAATAACCAAGATTCCTGCACTCAGTGCTTTAATATGTATTTAATTCTACACTATGGGCCTGGCACTCAGAAACACCAATGCCATGAAAGACAAAAGAAAGCAAGAGAACTGTTCCACATGATGTGAGATTAAAAAGACACACAATCAAATGTAATGTGTAAATTTTAATTGGACACAGATTCTAAAAAGTAAACCATAAAATACGGGAGTATAAAACCAACATTTGGGAGAAAGCAGGAGGATTATAAATTCAAAATCAGCCTGGACTATGAGAGAAAAATACTTCCCATGATTAGACAGGAAAATTTGTGCATGTGCACAAATGTGTGCAACCTTTTGAATAGCTAGGATTATAGGTGTAAGCCACTGGTACCCAGCAAAAAATTCTTAAGACATCTAAAATATCTAATGGCAAAGTGCTATATGTGTACCTGTTCACACTTCCAAATGGTCCTGAAAAAAAATGCATACATATGTAGAGAAGGATAAAGTAAATGTGAGAAACTTCTAATGATTAGTAATCTAGGAAAATGTTAGAAGGATAGTAAATACACTATCTTCAGAGGGACAGATGCCTGCAATCTCAGTTACTTGAGACCAAGTCAAGAAAGTTCAAAGCCACGGGGCTGGGAAGGTAGCTCAGTGGTAGAGCGCTTGCCTTGCATGCATGAGGCCCTGGGTTCGATTCCTCAGCACCACATAAACAAAAAGAAAAAAGCCGGAAGTGGTGCTGTGGCTCAAGTAGTAGAGTGCTAGCCTTGAGCTGAAGAGCTGAGGGACAGCGCCCAGGCCCAGAGTTCAGGCCCCACGACTGGACCCCCCAAAAAAAAGAAAGTTCAAAGCCAGTCCAGCAAAGGTAACAAGACTCAAAAACAAAATAAGCCAGGTGCTAGTGGCTCACGCTTGTAATCCTCAGGTGACTGAGATATAAAGATGGAGATTTGAAGCCAGCCCAAAAGTCCTTAAGCATCAGTGGTGCACTGTAATCCTAGCTACTCAGAAGGCTGAGATCTGAGGATCGCCCAGTTCAAAGCCTATCCAGGTAGGAAACTCCGTGTGAGACTCTTATTTCCAATTAACCACAAGAAAACTGGAAGTGATGCTGTGGCTCAAGAGGTAGAGCGCTAGCCTTCAGCTGAAGAGCTGAGGGACAGCACCAGGCCCAGAGTTCAAACCCCATGACCGACAAAAAAAAAATCCTCAAGACATTATTTTCAATTTAACCAGTAAAAAAAGCTAGACTGGAGGTGGTGTGACTTCAATGGCAGAATGTAGAAAAAAAACTAAGCAATGAGACTCTGAATTCAAGCCCCATTATACCACTAAATACCAGACTAGAAGCATAGTTCAAGGCAGAACACATGCACAAGGTCCTAAATTCAACGCCTCCCCCTTCCAAAAAAAGACAATATATTAAAACTAAATAAAGTGGCAAAGTCATAAATATGATTCACTGTTTTCAAATATTAATATAACATTATTTAAGTCGCAAACAGAATTTTATATGGTACTTTCACTTCCTGTTACATTTTGCTTTCTTTTTTACATCTATCTACCAAAGCCACAACAACAAATATAAGATACCAGAAGATAATTTACTCAAAGTTCCATCAAAATTACAAGCAGTATTTATGAACATGTCAAAACAGAGGGATAAAGTACAAGAATGTAACCAGTACTCACTACTAATTCATTCATTAAATACACATTTACTGAGGGCAGCTTAGTTTTAGTACCACGGACATTGAAATAAGAAACGTAGACTTCTATTTGGAGGAACCGGACAAGCAAACCATTAATCCAAAAAGAACTCACTAAGTATTAGAAAAGTAGTGTTTACAGATACATAAGGCCAATAGGAACACAAACCAAAAGCAATGTGGCAATGTATGGCACGCATCTGCAACCAAACAATACATCTCAGACACAGGCTGCAGACTAATGGAACAGTATGTACGATACGTTGATACTTGGAATTTCCACAAAAATGTTAAAATTTTTAAAAAAATGTAATTTAGTTCAAACATTTGTTAAGCATGGACCATGCCAAGAATTCTGCCCAGAGTCAAGTTACAAAGGCAAAATGCAGCTTTTTTTTGTAGGTTGTGGGGTTTGAACTCGGGGCTTGGGCACTGTCACTTTGAGCCACAGAGCCACTTCTAGTTTTGTGGTGGTTAATTGGAGATAAGAATCTCACAGACTTTTCCTGCCTGGGTTGACTTTAAACTAAGAGATCTTCAGATATCAGCCTCCTCCCATGTAGCTAGGATTATAGGTGTGAGCCATCAGCACTCGGCAAAATGCAGCACCTTGAAGTACTATGGAGAAAAGTAGCTCTCAAGGTTGGGGGTGTAGCTCAGTGATTTAGAGAGCGTTTAGTGTGTACAAGACGACCCTAGGTTTCATCCCCAGTACCAAATAAAAAAGTAATTCTCCTCCCTTGTAAATATAGAACTATGGCATTTTGTAATATACAATATGCATAACTATATATAATTATGTAATATATCACAAAACATTTCACTAGGAAGATATTATTAAATGGCAATTAATGATGAAGAACCCGGAAACACCCAAAAGCCACCATTTGTTAAGGACTGACTCAATACAAAGGATGTATACAGCAACATAAAGAGGAGTTAAATCCATCCTAGGTAACAAACCTAGAGTTTGAACCTATTTCTCCCAAGGCTGACTATAAGAAAAGCATGTGTAGGGGAGGGGCATGGTAACATACACTTATAGTCCCAGCTACTCAGAGAGCTATAGTGGAAGAATCACTTGAGCCCAGGAGTTTGAGACCAGCCTGGACCACACAACAGGGCCCCACCTCATGAACTTTGTGTGTGTATACAAATGCATAGTGTAGGCCCTTGCACGCCATAGCCAATATTATCATCTAAACAACACTGAAAGGAAGTTTACATAACTACTGCAATTTACAAATATATATGGAGGAACATAGGAATCATCACAAAAATTTTCCATTTCCTTGAAATCAACAAATCATCTCATGCTTAAATTGGGAGGGAGGGGGGTATTGGCAAACTAAGCCCTATGTCAATTCTAATGATCTATTAGTGTATTCATCAACAAGCTTCTTCAAATTGCCTTTGTAAATAAAGTAAACACTTATTTGTTGGAACATGGTCTGTCCATTTGTATATGTGGTCTCTGGCTGCTCTCCTGCTACAGTGACAAAGTTGAGTACTTGGGAGACAGTAGGCCCACAAAGCCTGAAATAATTCATTTTCTTGCCCTTTGTAGAAAAAGTTGGCAGAGTCATGGTCCAAATGATATCAGAAATGTTAGAAAAATAATTAGCTTATTCCATTTCAGTCCTATTTAAGCTTAATTATGAACTCTACCTCTTTCTTTGCAATTAGTGTCACTTACTGGTGTTCACATTTCAGTTATTTTCCATAGAGTATGTATTACCTAAGCTGTCCAGTAGTTTATCCTTCATAATACTATAAACAAAATCCTAATAAAGGCCAGGTGCCGGTGGCTCACGCCTGTAATCCTCGCTACTCAGGAGGCTGAGATCTGAGGATGGAGGTTCGAAGCCAACCCAGGCAGGATAGTCCATGAGACTCTTATCGCCAACTAACCACCAGAAAACAGGAAGTGGTTCTGTGGCTCAAGTGATAGAGTACTTGCCTTGAGCTGAAGAGCTCAGGGACAGTGCCCAGGCCCAGAGGTCAAGTCCCACAACCCAAAAAAAGAAAAAAATCCTAATAAAGGTACATCTGCAATTATTCCCACATATACTTTCAATTCTGTACAATCTATAATGATATAGACAAGCAGAGCTGAATACAGAATAGCCGATATGACTAAATGATTCCTAATATAATACTCCAGTTACATTAGAACGTATCAAAATGCCATTCAGGACCAACACCACCAATGTCACCCAACTGCATATCAAAAAAACAAATTCATGGGCACATTCCAACATGATTTTTAACTCTTCTTAATAAGAGATGCTACACTAAAACAGAGTTATATTACTTACCTTGAGTGTGAAAAGGCTGATTCGGCCAGGCAACTTATAAAACAGCCCCTCTCCTCCTCTTGAATTGGAATGTAGCATGGCATTGAGGCATGCAAGAGGGGATGTCCCACTATAAAATATAAAAGGATGGATAAGGGCCACATAAATCCATATGACTACTCACCAAAAACACAATCCTAATCCTACTCAGGGCCTCAAGCCCTTGACACTCTTTTTCTTTCTTCTTCTTTTTTTTTTTTTGTTGGTTCTGGGGCTTGAACTCTGGGCCTGAGCTCTGTCCCTCAGCTCTTCAGCTCATGGCAAGCACTCTACCACTTGAGCTACAGCGCCACTTCCGGTTCTCTAGTGGTTTATTGGAGATAAGAGTCTCACGGACTTTCCTGCCCGGGCTGGCTTTAAACCAGGATCCTCAGATCTCAGCCTCCTGAGTAGCTAGGATTACAAGCGTAAGCCACCGGTGCCCGGCTTCTTGACACTCTTTACTTAGCTTTTTTTTTTTTTTGTCAGTCATGGGGCTTAAACTCTGGTTCTGGGCACTGTCCCTAAGATCTTTAGCTGAAGGCTAGCGCTCTACCACTTGAGCCACAGCGCCACTTCCAGTTTTCTGGTGGTTTATTGGAGATGAGTCTCATGGACTTCCTGCCCGGGCTGTCTTTTAACAGCAATTCTGATATCTCAGCCTCTTAAGTAGCTAGGATTACAGGTGTGAGCCACCAGCACCCGGTGTACTCATTTTTTTTTCTGTTTGGTTTTTTTTTTTAAGTTTTTAATTGTGAAAATACTGTACAGAGAAGTTACAGTTACATGAGCAAGGTAATGAATACATTTTCTTTCAAGCATTGTTGCCTTCTTTGTTTTTCCCCTATCATCCCTTCCCTCCCACCTTCACAACTACACTCCCCCCCAACTCATTTTTAAGTTAAGAAACAGGAAGAATAATAGATAATCCCATGACAACAATTCTACTTTAAGAGTGATAAGGTAAACAACTAAAATTTGTATAAATCATATTCCAAGAAATTTATGTATGATAATACTAAAATTACACATCTAACTTTTCTTTAGTGCTTTCTAACAATTTGAATCAAATTCCCAAGATACTTAGGAAAAAACATATTTTTCAAGGCATATTGTAATAAAATTTTAAACTTGTAGCTTAATAAAATTTTACCATTAAAACAAAATTGAGCACTTCTTTTTTTTATGTGTGTCCAGTCGTGGGGCCTGAACTCTGGGCCTGGGCGCTGTCCCTCAGCTCTTCAGCTCAAGGCTAGCGCTCTACCACTTGAGCTACTGCACCACTTCTGACTTTTTTCTTTTTGCTTATGTGGTGCTGAGGAATCGAACCCAGGGCCTCAGGCATGCAAGGTAAGCGCTCTACCACTGAGCCACCTTCCCAGCCCAAAATTGAGCACTTCTTATTCCCTAAATTTTAACCTACATTTATACTCAGAAACTACACACACATATATACAATGTGTGTGCACACACACACACAGCTTTTCAGCAGTACTGTTTGAACTCAAGGCCTTTGAACCTACCCTTGCTTGGTGGAAGTTCTATCGCTTGAGCCACACCTCCAGCCCTTTATACTCATTATTTTTTAATAGGATTTCAAATTTATGCCCAGGGTCCTGTTTAGGTTTCCTGAATAGCTGGGGCAATAGAATGAGACCACCACACACAGTTTACTTGTTGAGATGGGATCTCATGAACTTTTTGTCTTTTTTAACTGTTTTTGTTTTGGGTTTTTTGTTTTTTTTTTTTTTTGCCTTTTCTTTTATGATAATGGTGATTGAACCCAGGATGCTGCACTTGCTAAACAAGTGCTTTGCCACTGAGCTCCTCATGAATTTTTTAAAGCCTCGGCTGGCCTAAAACCATGATCTTCAAAATTTCTGCCTCCCTAGTAGCTAGGATTACAGAAATAAGCCACGGTGCTTAGTTTGCCATATACATTTATAAACACAAAGACCACAGAATCACTGGTGCTGTCCTAATAAACATGCACTTCTATTTTTTCAGTTAAATTTTTCTATACAAAAAAGAAGAATTCGGGGCTAGAAGGTGGCTTAGTGGTAGAGTGCTTGCCTAGCATACATGAGGCCCTGGGTTTGATTCCTCAGTACCACATAAACAGAAAAAGCCAAAAGTGGTACTGTGGCTCAAGTGACAGAGTGCTATCCTTGAGCACAGAGAGGCTCAGGGACAGTGCCCAGGTCTTGAGTTCCAAGTCCCAGGAATGGCAAAAAAAAAGCCAGGCAACGGTAGCTCACGCCTGTAATCCTAGCTACTCAGGAGGCTGAGATCTGAGGACTGCGGTTCAAAGCCAGACTGGTTCAAAGCCAGACCGGGCAGGAAAGTCCGTGAAACTCTTATCTCCAATAAACCAACAGAAAACCGGAAGTGGGGCTGTAGCTCAAGTGGTAGAGAGCTAGCCTTGAGCTCAAGAGCTGATGAACAGTGCTCAGGCCAAGAGTTCAAGCCCCATGACTGACAAAAAAAAAGAAGAATTTGCTTATTCTCTGCTAGCAAAATTAAGTCTGTCAAATGGTAGAGATTTGGTAAACTAAAAGGATGGCATATAAAAGTATTTCGTAGTCCACGTCACAAAAGTAGGTCACAAAATAATAACTCAGTAGAAGATAAAAAAAAACTACTTACTCAATCTTTTTTTTTTTCCCCCCGGTCGTGGGGCCTGAACTCTGGGCCTGGGCGCTATCCCTCAGCTCTTCAGCTCAAGGCTAGCGCTCTACCACTTGAGCCACAGCGCCACTTCCGGCTTTTTTCTTTTTGCTTATATGGTGCTGAGGAATCGAACCCAGGGCCTCATGCATGCAAGGCAAGCGCTCTACCACTGAGCCACCTTCCCAGCCCCGTACTTACTCAATCTTGAAACAGAGAAGTTATCAAAAATATACAAATGCTTTATTTGACACTAGCACATGTTAAATGTGAGGATACAAACCTGTGAACCTTACCTTTCTTCTCCTTAGCATGTTATAAAGATAAAAATATCTCAAGTAAAGCCTTTTTCAGAACTAGAGGGCCTAATTTGTTTTAAAAATACATTCTAAGCCGGGCGCTGGTGGCTCACGCCTGTAATCCTAGCTACTCAGGAGGCTGAGATCTGAAGATCGCGGTTCAAAGCCAACCCGGGCAGGAGAAGACCGTGAGACTCCTATCTCCAATAAACCACCAGAAAACCGGAAGTGGCGCTGTAGCTCAAGTGGTAGAGCACTCGCCTTGAGCTGAAGAGCTGAGGGACAGTGCCCAGGCCCAGAGTTCAAGCCCCACGACCGACAAAAAAAAAAAAAAAAAAATACATTCTAAGCTGGGTGCCGGTGGCTCCTGCCTGTAGTCTTAGCTACTCAGGAGGCTGAGACCTGAGGATCAAAATTCAAGCCAATCCAGGCAGGAAAGTACATTATACTCTTATCTTCAATTAATCACATAAAAAACCAGAAGTGGTTCTATGGTTCAAATGGTTGAGTGCTAGCTTTGAGCAAAAGCAGCTTAGGAACTGCAGTGCAAACCCTGTTTAGTTCTAGGCCCAGGACCTGCACAGACAGACAGACAGATAGACAGACAGGTCAGAAAAACTACTAAAGACAGGGAAGGTGGCTCAGTGGTACAGTGCTTGCCTTGCAGGCACGAGGTTCTGGGTTCAATTCCTCGGCACCACATAAGCAGAAAAAGCTGGAAGTGGCGCTGTGGCTCAAGTGGTAGAGTGCTAGCCTTGAACTGAAGAGCTGAGGGACAG